CAGCACACACACAACAACAGGCGAAACCACAGGGAGCTTGAAATGACCCCAAAGGCACTCAAGTGAGCAACGTGCAATCGTGCACCCACACCCTCCTTCCTCTTGCTCTATCCCATCTCTTCCTTCTCGCCCTCATTACTCCACACTCTCTTCTCCATTATCACTCCCCATCCCCCTAGTCCTCCCTTCCTCCACCCTCAACACCACCCCCGACCCCCCCTTCCCCCTACTCCTCCCCCCCCCCTTCCTACCTTCCCCTGCCCCTCACCTCACTATCCGCGTCAGCGGTCCGCTCACCGCCTCCTCCTCCGCGCCTCCCCCTGCGCGCGCCTCCCTCGACCACGCGCAGTGGAGGGCAGCAGCGGGGCGATCTGCTCGGACGCCACCAGCGCCACAAACACAACACTCACTAACGCGTACGGCCAGTTCGCCTTCCGCGACGGCCGCAGCCGCGCGCACAGCGCGCCAACCACACGCGCAGCACCCGCATAGCAACCCGCCCCCCTGCTGCGCCCTTCCCCCCGGCATCCGCGCCCGCCGCGCCAACCTCGCGGGGCGTCTGAGCCCGTCGCCGCGCGATCGTTCCGCGGACGGCGCTTGGCGCGCAGTGGGCTCCGGCTTGGGCGCGGAGGTGGCGACGAACGGCGCGCCGTACGACATGGCGGCGTGCGACGAGCCATACGGCAGGCGACCGCCCACGCGACGCTCCGGACCTGGCAGGCGACGGCGGGAGACGGGGGAGGGGTGAGAAGTTAGATGCAGCAGGGGAAGAGCGAATGAGGTGGGGGTTGGCAAGTGGGGTTTGCTGCTGGACGAGGAATGCCTTGACACAAGGCAGCAGCGGCCACATCAGAGCTACAGGCACCTGGAGGCATGTTGAGCTGCGCGCGTGGGATGCGACGGTGGTGACGAAGAGGTCGATGACGGCGCACACGACAGCGATGTCCGCGCGCGCGGCCTATCTCACGCACGACAAAGACTCTACTGATCCTCCCTCCATTTCCCTCCCCCCGACGATCACGATCCCGATTGGCGGCAATCAGCGTTTACTTCCCGACTGGAATGGCCAGCCTGTCGCCCGGCAACCTGTTTCCCGGGAGCGAGTGGGAACGCCACGGACTAAGTATCTTGAGTGCTGTCTGGGTATCTTTCAAACGTTACTGTCGAGTGCTCGTGGTCGGCTCGGGTCGGGTGAAATAGCTTTGCTGGGTAGGTGGAGCACGGGCGCGAAATTGGGATCAGCAGGTCTGCGATGCGGGGTGGGTGAGTGGCGGAGGAACAACGCGTACGTTTCATTAACTGAAATACGGTAAATCTGGCGCTGATAATCATATACATTTAAATCATTTCGATTACAGGTGAACACTACTTCTGGGTGCCAGAATATCCAACTCAACAAAGGTACATACTAAATAATGCAACTGGTTTGCACCACGGATCTAAACAGAGACGGTGCTGAGCTTGGATGCCACCTCAGCAGCGTAGACGCGAGCCCATTGGTCGAAGTGCACGATGTCCTCCAGTGACGGGGCAAGCACGAGGTCATTGCGATGGCGATCACACGTGCCCTCGATCACCCGGCAGATGTCGAGATAGTGGATCCTGAGGGGAAGAGAGGAGGGAGTAGGGAAGGGAAGAAGGAAGGAAGTTGGCTACAGAGCTTGATTTTGACAGCTCAGCAGGGTAAAGGAAACATCACTTGGTAACTTCCTCCTTTTGAGAACTCACTTGTCATCAAGGAACATCTCCACACAGCCTGCTCATTGGCGAATGGTGAGAGGCACACCATCATCTATTTGTTATTTACAACCATCTACTACAATTACAGGTACAGTATATTCTTCCTGCACTCACTTGTCATCGAGGAACATCTCCACGGCCTGCTCGTTGGCGGCGCTGAGCACACCAGTCATGGTGCCACCCGCCCGCCCTCCCGCATACAACAGGACTATGGATGGAGGGTACGTGTCACGGTCCCCCCACGACTCACTTGTGATCATCCAGACACTCACTTGTGATCATCCAGACACTCACTTGTCATCGAGGAACATCTCCACAGCCTGCTCGTTGGCAGCACTGAGCACACCGGTCATGGTGCCGCCCGCCCTGCCGGCTGCATATGAGAGGTCCATGGACGGTACTTGTCACGGTTGGGTTCCCTGAAAGTCAAGTCGCCCATCCTGCGGAGATTGGAATGGGAAGAAAACAGGGATGGAGTGAGAACACGAGGGAGGTTGGAATCGATCGGTAAGCGAGTAACAAGAAGCAACTTTGAATAAAAAAAGATAGACAAGGTGGTTGCAGCGGAGCATGGGCCAAGCAGGCAAAAGAGTCACAGCGTGAGAGGGCATGAGCGGATGAGGGCAGGGGCATGAGGGCATGAATACATTCCGGACCATGAGGGCATGAGTGCATGAGGGCATGAGGGCAAGAGAGCAGCACTTGATGAAGTCGAGGCGGGGCCAGGTGACTTCAGAGGTGGGGACACGGTCGGGCCAGGAGAGGGTGTAGAGGATGGGCAGCCGCATGTCCGGCCACCCCAGCTGCGCCAACACCGACGAATCCTGCAAGGGCCAGAGGGAGTAAAGGGCGAAGAGGGGGTAGAAACACAGTAAATGAGATGCGTGGAGAGGAGGCAGAGGGGCGGAGGAAGAGCAAAGTGAGACAGCGAGCTCAGGCATGCCCAGTGCCCACCTGAGTCTCAGCCATGGAGTGGGCGACTGCAAAAGTAAGGGAACACACACTTGTCTGTGTCTCAACCATTCGGTGAGGAATGCACCTGTGTGGTAAGTATGAAGCAAGGTACACCCAGTGCGCACCTGAGTCTCAACCATGGAGTGGATGATGCTCTGAGGGTGATCACAATGTCAATGTTGTCATAGTCCGCGCCAAACAGGTAGTGCGCCTCTATCACCTCCAGCCCTGATAGTGCGGCGACAGGGGATGGCAGGGGATTATGGGCAGGGATTATGGGCAGGGGATTATGGGCAGGGGATTATGGGCAGGGGATTATGGGCAGGGGATTATGGGCAGGGTTAGAAGATTTGGCTTTAAGGTGAGTAAAATTCAGGCCAATTTTGCTTTCGTAACCCAAGCTTGGTTCGGCGCATTGTTCATTGTCACACACTGAGTAAAAATCTGATATTGATACCTTGTGCTCTGTTTGGCTATGGATGCCTTGTGCTCTGTTCGGCTATGGATGCCTTGTGCTCTGTTCGGCTATGGATGCCTTGTGCTCTGTTCGGCTATGGATGCCTTGTGCTCTGTTCGGCTATGGATGCCTTGTGCTCTGTTCGGCTATGGATGCCTTGTGCTCTGTTCGGCTATGGATGCCTTGTGCTCTGTTCGGCTATGGATGCCTTGTGCTCTGTTCGGCTATGGATGCCTTGTGCTCTGTTCGGCTATGGATGCCTTGTGCTCTGTTCCAGATTTTTACTCAGTGTGTGCTCTGTTCGGCTATGGATGCCTTGTGCTCTGTTCGGCTATGGATGCCTGTGCTCTGTTCGGCTATGGATGCCTTGTGCTCTGTTCGGCTATGGATGCTTGTGCTCTGTTCGGCTATGGATGCCTTGTGCTCTGTTCGGCTATGGATGCCTTCTCACATCCCTTTCCCCACCTTGTGCTCCCTTCCCTTCCCTCCCTCCCCCCTATCCTCCTGCAGCCTGCCCCCCTCACAGCGCCCGCACCTTGTTCATGAGCGTGGCGGAATCGACAATAATCTTCGGGCCCATGCTCCAGTGGGGGTGCTTCAACGCATCTTCTGACAGTTAACACCTGGCCCTTTCCCAACCTTGTACACTCCCCTTGCCCACCTGCTGCCTGCCCCCACGCACCTTGTTCATGAGTGTAGCAGAGTCGACAGTGATCTTCCTGCCCATGCTCCAGTTGGGATGCTTCAACGCGTCCGCTGGGGTCACCTCCTTGAGCTTCTCCACCGGCCAGTCCCTGGGGGAGATGAAGGGAGGGAGGGGATTATAGAGAGGAAGTGTGGTCCCATCTGGTATGGACATGGCATGTGGCATAGCTGGTGGAATGAAATGTGGCATGGTATGACATGCGGCATGTGGCATGTGGCACGTCATGTGGAATGTGGCATGGAATGTGGGATGGCTGGCTGGAGTGTAACATGGCATGTGAGCGTGGGCATGGTATGACATGTGCCATGGCTGGCTGGAGTGTAACATGGCATGTGAGTGCGCACCTGAAGGCGCCACCAGAGGCAGTGAGGATGATGCGACGCAGACCGCCCTCTGGCAGCCCTTGGATGCACTGCCGCGCATACAAAGGGGAGAAGGAGGGGTGGGAGGGGGGAGTGGGGGGGGGTGGGGGTGGGGGGGTGTTGAAGGGGGGGAGGATATTAACCACGCGGTCTCCCAAGCAGGGTCAGGAGTCAAGACGAATTCTATGTGGGTTAAGAGGGGTGCAGATGGGTGAAGTGGAAGGGATGAAGAAACCGGAGTGCTTGGTTGGGTGGGTGGGTGGTTGTGTGGGTGGATGAGAGCGCACCTGGAAGATGGCGGAGTGCTCCGAGTCAGCGGGCAGGATGTGACAGCCGTGCTTCTTCTACCTCTCGACTCAAAAGCCATCTGCCACCGCACCCATGGAATGGGTGAGGCACACCTGGGCAGGGCGCACCTGGAAGATGGCAGAGTGCTCCGATGTCAGCGGGCAGGATGTGGCAGCCGTGCTTCTTGGCGAGCGGCAGCACGTACGGCCCGCCTGCGATGAGCGTCTCCTTGTTCGCCAGGGCGATGTCCTTGCCCGCCTCTATGGCCGCCACTGTCGGCTGCATGCATGGAGACATGCACGCACGCATCACCACATAAGATGTCGCATGGCAGTGATGCATGGAGGGAGCCTACTTGATGTTCGCTGGACCAGTCCATTGCATGCAAGACAGCATGACTCCACCATTGAAATGCATATCAACCGACTACAGCTCCCCCAATCTGTAACAGTCTACCTACCCCCGTCCCTCACAGAGCCTGCCCCCAGCCCAACGCACCTTGAGTCCCGCGCACCCCACAATGACTTTTGAGACGTCTCAAAATCCGTGTGTAAGTAGACGACTTTTGAGACGTCTCAAAAGCTGCCCCCAGCCCAACGCACCTTGAGTCCCGCGCCACCCCACAATGCCCGTGACCACTGTCTCCGCATCAGGATGCCGTGCCACCTGCATGATCATGACCATCACACGCGCGCGCACATACCCACATACACAAACACATGGTCACACGCCCACGCCCATGGAGACACACGCAGCAGGGACAGGGATGAAATTAGAGCGGTGAATTGATGTAAGGCGACCAAACGACTCCCTCCGCCCTGAACCTCAAAACTGCCTGAAAGCCTTTTGAGGCGCCTCAAAAATCCGACTCATTGCCCTCTCCCTTCCCCCCTCCCATCTTCGTTTTCTCACCCCACCCCTTCCTTCACGCCGCCGCCTCGCCTCCTCCTACCCCCACCTCCGTCCTTCATAACCCCAGCACTTCTCCTCCCTGTCCTCGCCTCACCTCGACGATCCCCGAGTCTCCGCCACGATCTCCGGCATGCGCTCCATTCCGCGAGCGCCTCCTGAGCTCCCCCACCAGCGCGGGGTTCTGCACCGACACCAGCGACGGCTGGAACTGGCGCACCTGCTCCGCGCACAGGGGGAACGGCGCAGGTGGGGGTAGACACGGGGAGAATGGCAGGGAGGGAGTGAGGGGTGAGAGGAAGGCGGGAGGCGGTACGAAATGAGGAGGGAGGGAGTGAAAGACATGCTTGCGCCGTGCGCACCTGTTGCGCCATGCACCTGTTGCGCCATGCAACCTGCTGCGCCATGCATGCGCACCTGTTAAACCCACGCGCACCTGTTGAGCCATGCACCTGTTGCGCCACGCATCTGTTGCGCTACGCACCTGTTGCGCCTCGCACCTGTTGTGGCGTACACCTGTTGTGCCATGCACCTGTTGTTCCATGCACCTGTTGTTTCATGCACCTGTTGTGCCACGCACCTGTTGTGCCACGCACCTGTTGTGGCTGCACCTGTTGTGCCATGCACCTGTTGTGCCATGCACCTGTTGTGGCATGCACCTGGTGTGCCACGCACCTGTTGTGCCATGCACCTGTTGTTCCATGCACCTGTTGTTTCATGCACCTGTTGTGCCACGCACCTGTTTGTGCCACGCACCTGTTGTGGCATGCACCTGTTGTGCCATGCACCTGTTGTGCCATGCACCTGTTGTGGCATGCACCTGTTGTGCCACGCACCTGTTGTGCCATGCACCTGTTGTGCCACGCACCTGTTGCGCCACGCACCTGTTGTGCCATGCACCTGCTGCGCCACGCATGCGCACCTGTTAACCCACGCGCACCTGCTACGTCATGCGTGCGCACCTGCTGCGCCATGCGTGCACACCTGCTGCGCCAGGAGCGCGATGTTGGAGCCGGCGGCGAGCGCGACGATCTTGAACCTGTCGGGATGCTCCGCCACTATGTCCAAAGTCTGCCACCCGCACGCACGGGGGAGCGGGGACGGGGCGAGGGGGGAAGCAGGCGAGATAAAGAGAGAGGGGGGTTGAAAACAACAAGGCACGAGAGTGGAGAGAGGGGGAAGAGGGGGTAGGGGAGGGTAGGGGGGGAGAAAGAGATATATAATAACTCTGAAAACGGTTTCAAGTGGCCATAACCCAGTCCTCTGGTCTTCTGGTAGCGATATATTCCCCACGTGAGTGCCTCACGTCTCACCTGAGTGCCACGTCTCTTACCTGAGTGCCACGTTTTTCACCCGAGTGCCACGTGTCTTACCTGAGTGCCACGTTTCTCACCCGAGTGCCACGTGTCTTACCTGGTGCCACGTGTCTCACCTGAGTGCCACGTGTTTCACCTGAGTGCCGATAGACCCGGTCGACCCAATCAGCGAGATCGCCTTCGGCTCGGCCCAGTCGTGCGGCGACGCGGGCGCCTCGGCGCGTCCCGGCCATGCGGGCGGCACCGCCGACGTTTCGGCTGCGGCGGATGCGCGAGCGGCGGAGGCAGCAGCGACGCGACGACGGCTCGTCTGGGCTGCGCAGGACACGGCGATGGGCAATGGAACGAGGCGCGAAGGGCAAGGGGACGGAAGTGAGCGACGGCACACGGGCATTAGATAAAAACTTCGTATGCAAGGACGACTTGCCAAGAAAAGAACCCACCTAAGCTACGCAATAGAGAGCTCGCCGACAGAAGATCTCAGGAACAGACTGCAAGAGTGCCTCAGAATGAGTACCTTGAGACGAGTTTCTTAACACGAGTACCTTCGAACAAGTACCAAAAACCGAGTACCTTCAAACGAGTACCTTAAAACGAGTACCTTGAGGCTTGGATCCCGCGAGGGATGCAGCGGACGAGGCGAAGCGAGTCTGGGAAGCGCACAGCCCGCTGACCTGCGCGGGGAAACGGCGGGGGGAATGCGAACGAACGGCGAAGACGGGAGCGCGGGATGAGAACGATCGACATTTGTCAACGATGAGGGAGGGCGGCAGCGTTCGAGAAGGGACATCAGACAACGATGCAATGATGTCCCTAAAGCTCGGCGCGCGGGTACCTTGAGGTTGGCCGCAGCCGGAAGGAGCGTGGCGGAAGCCATGGATTCACGTCGCGTCTGTAGTTGCGGCTCGGAAACGAGCTAGGTACGGGAGAGCACACCGTTGGATGGCCTCCAAACGGAAAAGCGAAAGTGAAAGTGAAAAGCAGCAGTGAGGAGGGCAAAGCAAGGTATGCAAATTGCGCTGCGAGAAATGAAGCAGAGCCTGGGTTGGGATGGGATGGGCCGTGCTGGTGGGAATCGGCGCTGGGAATCCCGAGGGATGGAGGTCCACACACGCTGCCACATGGAATGGACTGCCACGTCATTTCCCGCAGATAGGTCTACTCGCTAAAAACATTTCAATCTCCTCCTATGAAACCAACGAACTGTGCATCAAGAAAACATGTCAAGTTGCTCTCTACATACCATTTCTGTAAAGAACGTTTTGAAAAAGGTATTGGCAAACATAGTTGCATGATACTACACTTTAGAAAACCGATATAACTCATATTTATTATGCTAAATCTGTTCAACAGTATTTACAATTGATTATATGAGCCAATTTGTCCCGCAAAAACCGTCAATGTGTTACATGAATCCCAATGTTAAAAAAATATGTGCGGATTTAGTTTCTTTGAACCCTCTTTCACCTACTAAGGATATCATGGGAGATACACTCAAACGAAGAACTGTGAGTTTGCAGACAAATGACACCACTCAAAACCGTCGACCCTCCGCTAGGAAACCTGCTCCCGCTCACCCTCCGCCTCGCGCATTCCCCTCAAAGAATCTCTGCCTACTGCAACCACACAGCGCTGTGTTTCCGCACCGCCCGCTTCCCGCTCTGACCGCACACTGCGCACCACCTTCCCTTCCCCGCATCCCCCATTTACCTCCCCCCCCCCCCCCCCCCCCCGCCCGCGGCTCTCCCTTTTTCTTCCCCCCCTCACCTCTCACTCGCCCTCTTTCTCTCCCTCCGCTTCACCTCGAACTGCTAGTCGCAGCCTTCTTAGCAGCCGTTCCGCAAACCCTAATTCTCTTTTCGCCCTTTATTCTCTTCTCCGTCCTCTCCGCTGTCTCCTAACTCCGCCGCCATGGGTGAGCAACTTAGCTTCCGCGGCCACCTCAAGGGCCACTCCGATTGGGTCACGTCGATCGCGTGCCCGATCGACAACAGCGATTCTATCATCTCATGCTCGCGCGATAAGGGCATCATGTCGTGGTCGCTCACTCGCGACGCCGCCTCCGCCACGGGCGTGCAGCTCGCCGGTGTGCCCAAGCGCCGCCTCACCGGCCATGGCGGTTTTCGTGCAGGTGAAGCTTCGAATCTTCTAGATTCCTATTTTATTTTTTTCACGGAGGTTTCGTGCAGCTGCGTTTCATTATAGATTCTCGGTCTCCCGGCGTAAACTGCGCAAGTTTCCGGTCTGTTAGTGGATCTAAAAATTGCTGGTGTTGTGGCTGAGCTAGCTGCGCTCATTATGCGACAAAGAGCCCGTGTGTTTGCACACTGGTGTGATTTGCCGAATTAGCTAGTAGCTCGTCGAGGCTCACATTTGTGCCCGCCGCTCGACGTATTCGCGGATTGCTTAGTAACTTATAGATGGTGTGTGGCCGCCATTCGTCGACTGTCGTCCCGCATTTGCCAGCAACATCTTTCCTGTTGGCCGTTTATTCACGTCGCCATTCTATCGTTCCTTCGTTTCCATGCTCTCTGTTCGCACTCACCCAGTATAACGCATACGCTAGGTCTTCCGATGGTCAGATAGGGCTCTCCGGCTTGCGGGACCTGAACACCAGCGCATTCCGATTCACGTCTCCCTTCCCCTTTCCCCACACTCACCCTCTAACGCGTACAACAGGACGTCGTGATCTCATCCGACGGTCAGTTCGCGCTGTCCGGCTCGTGGGACAGCACCCTCCGCCTGTGGGACCTCAACACCGGCGCCACCACGCGCCGCTTCGTCGGCCACACCAAGGACGTGCTCAGCGTCGCCTTCAGCGTCGACAACCGTCAGATCGTGTCCGGGTCGCGCGATCGCAGCATCAAGCTGTGGAACACGCTGGGCGAGTGCAAGTACACGATGAACGACGCGGACGCTCACCAGGGGTGGGTGTCGTGCGTGCGCTTCTCGCCCGTCAACACTCAGCCCATTATCGTCTCCGCCGGCTGGGACAAGGTTCGTTGGACAGCGAGGATCTGATTCGTTGCGCGGCTGAGTTTAGGATCCTTGGGCTGTTGGGATTAGGTTTGTTGGGCGGCGGGGATTAGGTTCATAGGGGGGGTTGGGATGAGGTTCTTTTGGCAAGTCCCCGGGCGGCTAGAAAAGAATTCAATAGGCGCCTGGCATCAGACCGTGTATAATGAGGTTACGATCGCAGTTGGGTTGGACTACGTACTTTTCCCGCCAAGGTGGAGTAAGGAGATTGCAGCTGCCGTAGTTCTCCCGCCTAACAACTGCGACGCTCGATTGTGCGCTAGCAGTCAGGCCCCTCCCTTCGCCCCTCTCGCACGGGCGGGCTCCTCCCTCTGCCCCTCCGCCCCGCTCGCACCTGTGCACATGCGACACGCCAGAACTGTCCCGTAGAGCCGTTGAGTCGGCTCAACCGTCTCGTTGGATTCTGCATGGGTTCCATGCGCCGCCAGGACCTGCGCCACCTCCAGCTCCGACCACAACAGCTCGCATCAATACCATTATTTTTCCTAATCCCCTTTCCTCTCCCGTCTCCCCTTTCCCCCTCCCCATTTCCCCCTTGATCCTTGCCCATTCCCCTTTCTCCTCTCTCCCCCGTCCCCCCAGGTGGTGATGGTAGGAAACCTGACCAATCGCAAGCTCAGGCCTTGCTCCGCCGCTAGCTCCGCCCGAACCCCCTGTCCCCTTTCCCTTCCCAATCGCGCTTCCTTCTTCTCCGCTCGTCCCCCCCCTTCCCCCGGGTGGTGAGGTGCGGAACCTGACCAACTGCAAGCTCCGCCAGAAACTGCTCCCATCAACATCAATCCCCACCCGCTTGCCCCTCCTCCTTCCCCCGTCCCCCTCTTTCCCCCCACAGGTGGTGAAGGTGTGGAACCTGACCAACTGCAAGCTCCGCCAGAACCTGCTGGGCCACACCGGCTACGTCAACACGGTGACCGTCTCCCCTGACGGCTCGCTGTGCGCGTCCGGCGGAAAGGACGGCGTGGCGATGCTGTGGGATCTGGCGGAGGGCAAGCGGCTGTACTCGCTCGACGCGGGTGACATCATCCACTCGCTCTGCTTCTCGCCGAACCGCTACTGGCTGTGCGCCGCGACGCAGTCGTCGATTAAGATCTGGGACCTGGAGAGCAAGAGCCTTGTGGATACCCTCGTGCCTGACTTCGAGCTCGTTCGCGCGCGCGCCGGCGCGGAGTTCAAGGGCCAGGTGAGGGGAGGGGCGGGGGGATGGGGCACACTGGAATATGAGGGGGAAGTGACAGGGTGTAGGGGGGAAAGGGAGGGTGGTGGGGTGACCTGGAGAGCTAGAGCCTTGTGGACACCCTCGTGCCGGACTTTGAGCTGGTTCGCGCGCGCGGCGGCACGGAGTTCAAGGGCCAGGTGAGGGGGAGGGTGGGGGGGTGTTGGTGAGGTTTAGAGGCAGGGAGCGGCTCTATTGGGGACATGAGGGGGGAGTGACAAAAGGGGTTAGGGGGAAAAGAGGGATGGTGGGGTGACCTGGAGAGCAAGAGCCTCGTGGACACGCTCGTGCCGGACTACGAGCTGGTCCGCTCGCGCGGCGCCGGCGCGGAGTTCAAGGGCCAGGTGAGGGGAGGGGAGGGGAATGGGGCAAATTGGAATGCGAGGGGGGAGTGGCAGGGTGTAGGGGGTAAGGGAGGTGGTGGGGTGACCTGGAGAACAAGAGCCTCGTGGATACCCTTGTGCCGGACTTCGAGCTCGTTCGCGCCCGCGGCAGCACGGAGTTCAAGGGCCAGGTGAGTAGGGGGGAGGAGCATTAAGAGGAGGGTTGGGGGTAGAAGGTAAATAGGGGGAGTTCAAGGGCCAGGCGAAGGAGGAGGAGGGGGGGTAAAGTAAGCGAGGGGGCTGGAGCGGCACAATTAGGGTACTGGAGGGAAGTGACAGAGGGGCGTAGGGGGAAAAGGGGGTTGGTGGTGGGGTGATCTGGGGAACAAGCGCCTCGTGGACACCCTCGTGCCGGAGGGGTCAGCTCAGACCGATGACAGGCGGGGAAAGACAAAATGCCAGGTGCGTGTGGAAGGGGGAGGGTCGAGGGGGGGTGAGCGGAGGGGAGGAGGAGAGTCAAGGGACGGGTGAATGAAATAGACGGGTGAGGGGAAGGGAGGGCTTTATGGAGTGCGTGAGGGAAAGTGGCAGGCGAGGAGCAGGGCGGTGCCCCCCTGTGGTGTGCTAACAGTGACAAGCAACACAGAGATCTGGGGCATAC